TTTGTGCCCCTGGTACAGGTGCGCAAAGCTACACTCCCTGAAATCGGAAGTGGAGTGAGACCCCATCTGGTATTCGGAACTTCATGCAAGGAGCCCGATTCGGGGCAAGTGGTGGGGTTGGTGTGAACTTCATGAGCGGCGGGTGCACAAAGAGTCCAGCTCTCTCACTGTCTTCTTTCCAGAGAGGGGCCACACCAACAATCAACAAGTTCTTGGACCTAAGAACTGCAAAGAGAGTCACGCACCTCCAAGAAAAACATTTGACACTGACACACATCACACATCTACAGTATATACTGTAGATCTGGTAAACGTGGTGTATTTGATCGAAAGGACCTGGTCCTTTCCACTGTTTCTATGACCTGTCACCTGTCGCGCTGGCTCCTCGAGGTTGGCTCCATGTCCATGTTTAACATCACGTGATCTCACTTGTGCCCTGACTCGGTGGGTGTGTTGATGAGCCCCACATAGACGCGAATTCATCCCAATTGGACAAACAGAATCTGTTCGATTTGGGTCCTCCAGAAAGTACGGCCAAGATGGCAACCGTGTTGTGAAACGAACTGATCCTGGGGACGAAACCTCTGACGGACCACCAAATAAGAGTCCCAAACAAAATGGAAACGACGTCGCTGGGCCGAGCCGCTTGACGGAATCCTTCGGCATGAAGTTGGTGCTCATCCCTAACCTCGGTGTCTGCGCCACCGGCCCCTCAACCCGCCGGCTGGAACGCCTCGAAACCGAGTCCCCAAGTGAGCGGTCTGAAAGTGTTTTTTTCCGAAAAAGAGAGCTGAACTGGTGCATTTTTGGTGCTGTGGTGTTGATGTTGACTCAATGTTGACTCTGAATTCATTAACCCCCAATATAATAGATCAAAGCAAATGGACGGAAAATGGGACATCATGACGACATTATGCCAAGTCACTTGGAGAGTCCAACGGCTGCCTAAACACTGCAAAACACTTTGGGTGACTCAGCGGCTGGGTTGCAAATGGCTGCACCTCAACTCCCAACACGTCACCCCTGTAGCCTCACTTCAGCTCAGAGCTGCAATGATGAGATGCGAAGCAGCTGCGCTGGGCAAAGATTCACTTCATGACCCCCACGAAGTGCCAAACACAAATACACTCTGACTCACATCACATGGAAGTGGAATTCACCCCTTATTTGTGAAGGAAAGTCGTCTTCCTAACTCGGGGCCATTTTCCCATCACCTGCCATGTGATGTGTTCGTCAGAGTGTCACAAGCTTCGTTCGCCGAGGTTGTGAGTCTCTCGACGTGAGTGAGAAGAACTTGGGAGCTTCTTGCCTCAGAAGCATCTCCAGCGATAAAGAAAACATAAAAGAACCAATATGGCGAAAAAAGGAATCCAGTGCCTGGCAGGTTTGGCATGTTCATCCTGAACTCACCTGAGCCGTGCGATCTCGGCGCCCGAGATCCCCGCCCTCTTCTCTCAGGCCAAAGGACTTCGCAGGTTTGCTGAACTTCAACCTGGACGAGGCGGATCGCCGCTCGGTCCGCCGCTCGGATCTCCCTGCTCGTCTCGCCAAGGATCCAAAGAGAAAGGTGAAGCGAACAGCGATCCCAGGAGAGGTTGAACTTGCCCCCGCTATAGACTGTACCGGGTCCGAACGTTCAGGTCTCAAAACACCTCTCTTTGGGAACGATTTCCACACCCTAATCCGTCCCCCCCCAGTCCGTGTGATGACTTGGTGATCCACTGAAGTCCTGGATAGGTTAAGTCGCATAGAGGGCAGCTGGGATTCTTTTTCAGCATCCCAGACCCGACTGGATCGACCGGTGGAGCTGTGCTTTCTTTTTTTGGTGGGGCGCATCATGGAGCCATGCTTCGTGAATTTGCCAAATGACATCATACATATATAATATTGTTAAAACAATTATAGGGACTCAGTGACTCCTACATCAGTGGCACATGCCACATCAGTTAGTATAAATCTTGGGGGCAGGGGTGGGTTGGGAGTATCCAACCACCTTCGAGGATGTTCTCGCAAGAATGCTGGAAAACATCAAGGAAGTTGAGATTGATCACAATACATTCATCTCTCCACACATCTCCACTACAATTGCCTCATGATTCTTGAGGAGATTATCATTCAAACCTGAAACCATCCCCAATGCAACGACTGTGCGGGTCCCAATGGAGTGTCTGAGTATGTCACCTGTCAAACTGCTAAAATCACCATGTTGGCAGGTCAATCTGCAACTCGAACTTCCCGAACAGGCCCCTGCAATATCTGTACAACAAGCCACTGCCGAACGATGGGCCGTTGGCAAAGCAGGGTGACCGGTTGCCCAGGCATGGGCATGGGCGCCTGTAAGGACTTGGCCTCGGTTGTGCGAAGGAATTCGGGGCGAAACGTTCCTCGAGACACACCCGGCTGACAGCTTGCTGCCCAGTCCTGCCCTTCCAAACGCACCAATCCGGACGTCTCCGAAAAAGGTGGAGGATGAGGAGGACTTCTTTCGCAAACGCCCCTGAAAGGCTGTGGTGCCGTGCGCTGGTCTGCGTGCCAGCCGTGCCGTGCCAGGGGCGTAGCAGTCTGTACAAACGCAGTTCAGGGCTCTCCCGACCCAACTTGCACCACCGCCCCTTTCCCGGTTCATCCTGTTGGAGATCAAAACCGGTCCCCAATGTAATGTAGACTCTTGATTAATAAAGCACCCAATTGAAAGAGAAAATCCTCTTCATAAGGGTGGTTTATTAATCAAGAGTCTACATTCTACATTATCTCCTTGTCATGCTCTAGACTCGGTTGCAGTGCAACACTTTCCTTGCCAGTGCAACGCCCTACGATTCCAACTCTGAAGTCCTACCTACCGGGCCGTAGGCGGCCGTAGGGTAGCAGCTCATCGCG